GAATGCTCAAATATTTTAATGGTTTTTGCTCATATTACATATATTTGGTGAAATTTGATATTTTTTTCCAAAAACAGAGGGTCGGAGGAGGTCGGCCCGGCGCCTAAGACTAGGTTCCCGACTCTAAGATTCTACTCGGGAAGAATTACGCAACCAATCTGAAAAGGATTATATCCCACAGGAGCCTGAGAATCTCAGGTTTGCTCCTATTATAATTTTTTATTTAAAATTTTGCATTTTTAATAGATAAAATTGATAATATTATTACATATAGTTGTATAGTCCGTATTACGTCACAATAAATTCAGCCAATGACAGTGCAGTATCGTTGTCACGTGGTACAGACGGAAATCATGTTACCAGTATACTGCACTGCCATTGGCTGAAGTACTGGTGACGTAATACGGACTATACGGATTAAATGTAATAATGTTATCAATTATATCTATAAAAAATGCAAAATACAAATTAAATAATTATAACAGGAGCAAACCTGAGATTTTCAACTTGCTGTGAGAAATAGTCGTTTTTCAGATTGGATGGAAAATTGTTGAATATGATCTGTTTAATGCTACAACTTTCATACAAAATCTGACATATGTCCTTCATGGTATAATTTTGACACAGTTTTATGTCAATTTCTCGAGACAGGAACATACCCAAGTAACAAAAGTGAGGAATTTCCCCAGATTCTCCAACCGTGGTGACTCTCTTTAAGGAATTTCCGAGGAATTTCTCGAGAATCATTTCCTGTAACTGATTCCTCGGAAATTCTGGAGAAATTGGGTAAGATAGATGTCTTATAGGTATAGGTAATTCTCAGGTTTTATCCTATACCTCCTTTCATTTTTCCTTTACAGTCCTTTTTAATCGAATTAAAAATAAAAAAGTTTATAAAAAGTGTTAAATTTATATAGCGACTTATGTAAAAACTGTGGAATAATTGTTTACAAAACTTTTAGAGCAAATAAAATATTTTAATTTTGTTAACTAAGTAAAAATTTAACACGGTCAAGATGATTTGGTAGCTTTTGGCTTTATAAATCTGGATTTTTTATTGAAATCTAAATTCGGTATAACGTACACTGTACAGTATCCGTGTTTTAAATACCTAAACTGCATAAATGATTTGAAAGGATAAGTTTAATACCGGTATAGGTGTTAGGTTAGATCCCCAGCGCAACTTCCCCAGTCACAACTTCCCCAGTCACAACTTCCCCGAGACATCTTCATCGACAGCAATTTCCCCAACAACCAACTTCCCCGACAACCAATTTCCCCAACAACAATTTTCCCAATTTATAATTACCCCAACAGCAACTTCCCCAACAACAATTTCCCCATGCAGTAAAACAGCAACTTTCCCAACAACTATTTCCCCATGCAGTAAAATATCAAATATTTCCGTTTTTAACATTAACAAATGCGCAATTTTAAAATAAAAATTTGCAAATTTTTGAATGTGAAAAAATCAGTTGGATTAGAGTCGACAATGTTGGCAGTTTATACAATGTCCTTGAAGAAGAGAAATGTTCTGGTGGATCCCAATAAGTATGAGTACAACCTACAATCAATGTCAAGGGACAAATCTGAATCATTCTGGAACTGTGTGGAGAAAAGAATTTTACTGCATGGGGAAGTTGCTGTTGGGGAAGTTGCTGTTGGGGAAGTTGCTGTTGGGGAAATTAGTGACTGGGGAAGTTAGTGTTGGGGAAGTTGCTGTTGGGGAAGTTGCTTATGGGGAAATTAGTGACTGGGGAAGTTAGTGTTGGGGAAATTAGCGGTTGGGGAAGTTGCTGTCGGGGAAATTAGTGACTGGGGAAGTTAGTGTTGGGGAAATTAGCGGGTGGGAAAATCGCTGTTGGGGAAATTATTGACTGGGGAAATTGTGTTGGGGAAGTTGTTCTGGGGATCTAACCTAACACCCCGGTATAGATCATGTTGTACACAGAAACTCTGTGAGTAGAAGAATCGTCATAGTACAGCATTTGTTTATTGCTGGAATTGTACACACTGAGGGCAAAACTTAAAAGAAATTTACCGGGTATCCCAAACCAAACCTGGCCACGAAACCGGGTTAGCTCTCTTAAGTCTGGGTTTGAGTTTCGTAAGGGTTTCGGGAAACTCCGGAAACTGAGAATGTTACGGGGCAATACCTCAAAATGAAACCCTTGTATAGGAGTAGGGTTACGGCTGGGAAAGTGAGTTTCGTAGTTTTAAGAACATGAAACCCGAACTCTGCCAAACCCGGGTTTCAGGAAACCGGGTATCGTAGCGAGTTTTATAATTTTCTTAAGTTTTGCACTCTGGAGTAGAACTCTGTACATATCTTCTATAAATTAATCAAATGCGTACAGCTTGTACAGAAAAAGTGTATTGCTAGTATATAATGTACACAATTAAGCTGTAGAGGAATCTTGTACAAATGTCTGCTATTAATAATTTCCAAGTGTACATCTCTGCTTGTACAGGATAAGTTTAATGCTGGCATATCATGTACATACTGGAGTAGGATTCTGTACATATCTTCAATATATTCCAACCTTGTTGTAACAGGAGAATCCATGTGTACATGGAGGTACATAATTGGTCTCAGGGATTACCAGGTTAAGATGTGATCCCTTTGTTTAACCCTATCTCCGCTGGGGTACTTGAAAACCAGGATACGCTGGGGGTTTACATTCTAATGAAACCAATAGTTTTTGATACAATATTAACATTAATAATCAGTCCTAAGATAACTCCGCCATGGTTCCGTGTACAAAACTTACAGTGCTACCAACAAAAATAAGATTAAAAAACAAGACACTTTGTGTGGTTGATTCAGTCTCATTTCGTACATTCATCAATATTGTCCCTAACGTTAAACCAAGAAAAACAGCTTGTAAATTGATAAAATGGAAAGATTTGAATGTTATCTTATGTTGATTTATAAATTTAAAATTTAGGTTTAAATTTTATGAAAATTTAAACTCTTTAACTAGTTGTACTCTAAAAATGAAACTCTTTAAGAAAATGCCGAGGCGATTTACCTCACTGCAAATAAAAAACAAGCGAACTGAACTTTTTACAAAAAAATGTTCAGCTACTTATCTATAAAATATTTAGTTAGGAAAAAAGAAAAACTGTTAAAATAAAGACATGACCGGTTTTATTTTAAGACTAAAATTCTTTGGCTATTATGGAATTTAATTTGTGTTATTATATTTCAATCTTCTTTGAACCCTATACTCTACCCTCATTAACAATATGTTCTTTTTTTTAACCCTTTTCTTGTATTTTTGGTTTTTTAAATGAAACGGTGCCCATCTCTGAATGGGACAGGATGTAAATGCAACAGAACTTTATCTCCTCGATAAGGATTTATGGTGGTCACGACGTATATACTGGGAGCAAGTATGGAGGGACCTCCTTGTAAGGGATGTCACATTAACAAACTATACTATTCTATGGAGTATTCTAAGTATAGCGCGGCGCTGAACGGCATATGGTGGTCACGACCTATATACTGGCAGCAGGTGTGGAGGGACTTTATTGTTTGAGATTTCACTTTAACACATTATGATATTCTAAAGAAAAGTATAGTGCTGAGCTGACCTACCTACAGGGGTCACGAGTACAACCTATATATTGTCAGCAGGAGTGGAGCTTCCTCCTTGTAAAATATGTCACCTTAACATATTATAATATTGCAAGGAGAAGTATAGTGCAGCGCTGACCTGCATATGGTGGTCACGATCTATATACTGGCAGCAAGTGTGGAGAGACCTCCTTGTAAGGGATGTCACTTTAACACATTATAGGTTCAACTACGGAACAATGACAGACGAGGTGAAACGGGTTGTGGGATTGGTTTTTTAAATAAGGGTTAATAATCACGAAAATAATAATTTGCAAAACTTTATATAATTTTCAATTAATTCTCAAGCTTTAAACCCTTTTTTCAAAAATCTCTACCACTACTTCTGTTCAGAACATTTCTAGATTTAGCATCATTTTTCTAGATCACAACAAGTTAGATGTTTCTATATATGTTTTGAGATAAAATTGTTATCTGTTTGTCTGTTTGTTTGTACGATCATAACTCAGGAACCCCTGGACCGATTTGGTTCAAATTGAGTGTGGAACTCGGGAGAGCCACGGAAATGTTCTTAGTTTGGTCTTTAGAATCTAATTTTTGTGAGTTTTATAGCGAAAATTAAGTTTCCAAGTAAAAATCGACCAAGTGCGGGTAAACGGCGGGAGTGTACCCTGGGGAATGCAGGTTCCCAAGCTAGGTTAATATATTTCTTGATGAAGCTAAATTATTCTAGAAAAAGTGTAGGTAGATATTATTATTTTTATATTAATTTGTGTGAAAACTATAAAGTAGATTTATGTTAGTTCTTCTACTAACCTGGTCACCTAGCCTCTTAACAACCTGTTTTCAATTCCATTTTTCATTTCAAGTAAGAGAAAAGAAAATATATCTTAGCTGAGCTGAAAACTTTAGAATGGTGGATACCGAGATTAATGCTTGATCTCAACTTTTTCTTAATCTCAAGATTAAATATTGCATGTTCTCCTTTTTTATTATTAATCTTCAGATAATTTAACCGATCTTGATTAAGGATATCGTATTCTAAAGTTTTCAGCTTTGGAGATTGATAACAAGAGGAGAAAAAGCATTATTTAATGAATTAATTATTAAGAAAAAGAGTGGATGCAGCATTAATCTCGATATCCACCATTCAAAAGTTCTCAGCTCTGGTTACATAATAGAAATTCTCAATAGCTCTTCAATATGAGGAGTTCTGATTGAAAAAGTGTAATATTTTAATCTAACATGTGCAATTTACTATGTTTAAAGTGAGTTAACACTGACCAAAACTTTTTTACTTATTTAATTTTTAAATTTTAACAACATTTTTAAAATAAGATATGACCACAACTATAATTTGCTAATCTTCAAATCTGTGCAGCATAATACTGAAATCGGCAACATTAAATGTATACAACATCATGCTACAAAGATTATAGAGAAGAGTAAACTTGAGTTGGATGAAAATGTTAAATTTCTTTTATTTCAATCACGCATAAAGATACAGTGATAACAAGAAAACTCTAAAATATGAAGACGACTTTTAGCATCAAGTTAAAACTTTAAAAAGTTCATTGAGCATGAGCCACATCAACTGTGCAGTGTAAAAAAAATATCACTAAATTAGTGATTTGATAAGTGCCAAATAAAATTATTTTCTTTGTACCAACATCAAAGAATTGCAATAATGTCGTCTTTCTATTCAATTTATTACTGGTTATCAATGTATATTGTACAGGGTGTCCCACGAAACATGACATTTAAGGAACAGTTATTTTTAGTTAAACAAATCTTTTGCTTGATTATATTTTACTTTGAAATCAATTTTAGTATAACATGACTCCCATATAATATATTTATTGCTCTTTAGTATCAAACAACTGAGCAAATAATGGAAAAAGACATTCTAAACTATTCACCAACTGTCATGTTTCGTGGGACACCCTGTATATTGCAAGAAACAAAATACTCTCTCATAATAAAAAAAATTTAATTTTCTCGTTTTGTTTTGTTTAAATTTGTCCTTTTATTTGTGAAGAACAAAGAAATTGAGTCACAAACTAAGGTTTTCAAATCAGTGTTGTAGTGTAGACCTTGGTATTTCAAACATTGAATTCTTATAGATCAAAAAATCTAAGGTTGAAATATCAAAGGTCGCAAAGATATAGGGGTTAAAGACTCAATTCTTTTGACAACATTTTTTTTTACTTTTTCTTCTTTAGCCTGTTATTGATCATATGAGGGTGAGTGCTGCACTCAATGCTATTGGACACAAGCTAAAATCCTTGTCTTTTCTACCAGACGAAAACCTTCACAACATTGTAGAATTCCAGATTGTTATGAACAGGTTAAATATTGAGAATTAATAAAGAGATTGTGAGCGTTATTTCAAGCCACCCTTTTTTAACTGCTAAGTATCAGATTCACGATTTTAACATTTTGCGTGGAAAATTAACAATGTCTAATTAAATTGATTATTTTCATTGAGGTTTATATAAAAGTGAAATGCAAATTTACGCAGTAAAGATCAGAAAGGAATTGAAAAAAAGTAATCTTTTTCATTGTTATTCAGATAACGAAATATACGGCTTTCAGTTTAGCATGTTTACTCTTTCTACGAATGGCATTTTAAATTAACTTAACATTCTAAAGGACTGTTAAGGTAAAATGAAAGGGGTAAAGGCTGAAACCTCACTCTTGTATACCAAGTCCATTAGCGCCTGATCCAATCAGGGTTCAGTCATGTGCTTGGTGTCTATTCTGAACTAATAGAAATAGTATAGCGGTAACATCTATCTTTCTATCATCTCATTATCCAATTAGAGTTATGAATCCTTATAAATGGAAATATTTACTTCCACTGAAACTACGGTGGACTGGACATTTTCGGAGTTGATCGCGACCAATTATAGTTCTATTATTAGGTGTTCGTGTCTTAAAAAATTAATATAAAACTGCCTCCCATTTGTAGGTTTCCTTTAAAATTATAAGTTTACTTTTCATATCGATTGTTTGGCCGCTAGGTGTCTCTCAACGGTAATATCAGAGACACTTAGCGGCCAAAAAAAATCGTCATCAAAAACACAATAATTTTCAAATACAATGTCACGTTAAATAGAGTTTTCGTATAGCTCGGACACAGTTTTACATCAATTTCTGGAGACAGGGACATCAGAATAGAACTAATATTATGTCTTGATCAACTCCTAAAATTTCTAGGCTATAGCCTCGAAGGAAAATTGCTGATTTCATCTTATTGCTTTGCTGTGAAAATGCATCTAGAAAATACATTATACCCTGTTTTAGGTTCTGTCTCGTGAACAACACAAAACTGCCAAACATCAAGAGCTTTTGCTACAAATTTCCCTGCGACTTTGCAAGGTAACTACACAGTGATACAAAGATTGCCAGCTCTAAATCAAGAATTAATAGGCATCTTGCCAATTACAAAATTATAACATAATGTGTTTTTGAGTTACAGATGTAAAATCAATGGCCAAGACAACGTCAATTGATGCATTTTAAAAGATTAAAAAATTGATGCAATTTTTCAGAGCAGTCTGGATTAATGTGACTGACATCTTTTAATGTGATGAGAACACGGGAATTTTTGATTAATTGTTTTTTTTTCAAGGAAGCACAATGAAATTGACATCTATGGAACTGGAGGAATGATTCTGCAGAATATGAAGGTAAGCTTGATAATTGTATTTACAGTGTAAACATAAAACAGTGCAATAGGAGAACGACATTTTAGAAATACTATGTATATTGGATGTTAGTATCAGGGAGTAAGGAATAGAAGGGAGATATACTGTCCCGGCCCGCCAAACCATATGATTATACATGCTTTGGAGACGGTACTTCGTTTGAATAAGAAATATTTTTCTGATGTACAATTACCGCGTATACAATAACCTATTCTGAATATTTCTTATACAAATTGAGTACCCGTCTGCAAAGCATGCACAATCATATGGTAGGGCAGGCCGCGTCAGTTATATCTCCCTTCTATTCCTTACTCCCTGGTTAGCTTATCAAATAGTATTCAAGTAGCTTATTAAGAAAAATAAATAGTCTTTTCCAATTCCAGGGTTTATGGATCCTTATTTATTCTTTTGAATGTAGTTAAAATAAAGTCGTCGTATATATCAATACAATACAGACGGTTCTTTATTTCAATTTAGATTTCAACAAAGCTTTGAACAAGGTTGTTAGAGATCAAAACATATAATAAAAAAGTCGTCTTCATTGTATTGATATAATTTCCGACTATGGTACATAAAAAACCAAGTGAGACATTTTGGTATTTTTTTTAACTTGAACTGTTTTTGATATTTTTGAAAAAAAAACAATTGTAAATTAATTTTTTGTTAGAATTTGCTTGAATGTCTGCCTGGACTGGAAAAGTTGGAACTAGTTGATCTCCAGCTGGATGGAAATGATGGTAAGCTTGAAGTTGTTGATCTAAAGCTTGATGGAAATGATGGTAAGCTTGAACGTGTTGATCTAAAGTTTGATGAAAATGATGGTAAGCTTGAACTTGTTGATCTAAAGCTTGATGGAAATGATGGTAAGCTTGAACGTGTTGATCTAAAGTTTGATGGGAACAAACGAGATGTTTTAAAAACTAAATGGGAAATTTCTTTAACTTGGAACAGTGAGATTCATAAAACTGTGGAATAGAAGGAAGACTATTAGAAACTAAGGAACATTTTAAATATTCCTATTACAAAAATAAAGTGCAAAAAAAAGATTAATACAAACTTGCAGAGACACATTTGATCTTATAATTTGATTTTTAATTTTGGAGTAAGAATATTGGTTTTATAACACCATTGAATGAAAGTAAGATGCTTAAATGCTGTTTTCATTTTCCACAGGTTTCCTGGTCTCACTGCAGAAACCGTTAAGTTAGTAATGTTTTACCTATCAAAAGGAATAATTAATCAAAAAGTTAGTTCATATTTTTTATTGAAACAAATTTTTTAATTAACAAAAAACATGAATGTTTTTCAGCTGAGCATGTTCTGGATGAAGTAAGTGAAGTTTGTTCAGTGTCTCTCAAATCCCTGAGGAAATGTTTTTTTAAATCTATCAATTATTAACGACAATTATTAGTTTACATTGGTACCCTTAAAAGCTTTATCTGAGCTGGAAACTTTAGAATGGCGGATATCGAGATCACTGCTTGATCCTCTCTTTTTCTTAATCTCGAGATTAACCTAATCTTGTACTTGTATCCTGAAAAGTGTATAAAATTCAACCAATCAGAACCGCGTTTCATAAGCGGGAAATTTAACATTTTGCGCGCCATTTAAGATTAATATACAGAAACGGGTGGGGGGACTCTCTAATTTTAAAAAACCGGTTTTTGATTTCCCCACGTACTACATCCAAAAAGAGTAGATTAAGCAAGAAATTAAAAGTGTCCACATTGGAAATTCGTATTTATCAGTATAGATTACAGGTATCCCATTCTAAAGTTCCCAGCTCTGATAGATTAAAGAATGAAATTTATATCAATGTTTATGATTTTAAAAACTTATTATTTTCAATTATAGGGTTTCTACAAAAGTGACCTGGCATTTCTACTGCACAAAATTATTTCTTTATAAACATGGGAATTAATAGACTACTAAAAATAAACGTCTTAGATTACCGAAAGTTGATGAATGATAAAGATGTATAAAAAATTAGATTGTACGTCTCATGAGCCTTTGAAAATGTGGTTTACCTTCTTCGTATCTTAAAATTTACGCAGATTGTAATTTAAAAATGTATTCATAATATTTCTCGTCATTAATATATTGAGCTGAAATAGAGCCGCTAAAAGAAGAAAAAACTTAAAAAATTGTTCATGAAAGCAGAATTATCAACATATCTCGGCAACCCTTCTCTATGCTGGCAACCGCATCCTTTGTAAATCTTCGGGTTCTCTCCATATCACCTCATAATTTGGGAGATGATTTAGTGGAGTGTATAGGTAAATTCTCATAATATGGGAGATGATTTAGTAGAGTGTATAGGTAAATTCTCATAATATGGGAGATGATTTAGTGGAGTGTATAGGTAAATTCTCATTATATGGGAGATGATGGTAAATTCTCATAATATAGAGTATCATTTAGTAGAATGCTTAAGTAATTTCTCATAATATAGGAGATGATTTAGTGGAGTGTTTAGGTAAATTCTCATAATTTGGAATATGATTTGTGAAGTGTATAGGTAAATTCTCATTATATGGGAGATGATGGTAAATTCTCATAATATAGGGTATAATTTAGTGGAATGTTTAGGATGATTTGTGAAGTGTATAGGTAAATTCTCATTATATGGGAGATGATGGTAAATTCTCATAATATAGGGTATAATTTAGTGGAATGTTTAGGTAAATTTTCATAATATAGGAGATGATTTAGTGGAGTGTATAGGTAAATTCTCATAATATGGGAGATTATTTAGTGGAGTGTATAAGTAAATTCTCATAATATGGGATATGATTTAGTGGAGTGTATCGATAAATTCTCATAATATAGGAGATGATTAAGTGAAGTGTATAGGTAAATTCTCATAATATGGGAGATGATTAAGTGGAGAGTATAGGTAAATTCTCATAATATAGGAGATGATTAAGTGAAGTGTATAGGTAATTTCTCATAATATGGGATATGATTTAGTGGAGTGTATAGATAAATTCTCATAATATAGGAGTTGAGTGTATATAGGTTAATTCTCATAATATGGGAGATGATTAAGTGGAGTGTATAGGTAAATTCTCATAATATAGGAGATGATTTAATGGAGTGTATATAGGTTAATTCTCATAATATGGGAGATGATTTAGTGGAGTGTATATAGGTTAATTCTCATAATATGGGAGATGATTTAGTGGAGTGTATATAGGTTAATTCTCATAATATGGGAGATGATTTAGTGGAGTGTATATAGGTTAATTCTCATAATATGGGAGATGATTTAGTGGAGTGTATATAGGTTAATTCTCATAATATGGGAGATGATTTAGTGGAGTGTATATAGGTTAATTCTCATAATATGGGAGATGATTTAGTGGTGTGTATATAGGTTAATTCTCATAATATTGGAGATGATTTAGTGGAGTACAGTGAATAGGTAAATTGCTGCTTGCAAAAGAACTGCGCGACATGATACAAAACCTGTCCATTTAATGAAATGCATGACTGATTCACAACGGTACTATGAAATATTTGACAGATTGGGTTGGGATTGGGTTAACAACTTCTAACGTAATTTGATCATAATAATGATGAGTTTTTTTATTGTTTAAATTCATAATTTGTTTAATAAGTATTTTTATTTTTCAGCCGACATGAAAAAGCTGCGTAACCTGATAATTATGAGTAATGCGTACACAGACAGCATTCCAACTCCTGTTGACAGCAGGTACAGCTAGATAACTTACGCAATATGCATATGTAAAAAAATTGCTTAAGCAAAGAATGAATTGTAAATTGGCTCAAGTGACCAGAAAAAAGAATCTTTTGCTGTTGTCACAAACTCTGATTTTTTAACCCTTATATCTTTGCAAGACGATTTAGTAGACCTTAATAATTTCAATCCTTGAAAGCTTTTAGATCAAGTTTGAAATACACTACCATATTGCAAAGACAAAGGGATTAAGAAATTTGAGTTTTTGTCAAGAACTTAGTTTTTTTCTTTTACAAAAAAAGGTTATTCAAAATTAAATGATAATAAGAAAAAATAATGTTTATAGAATTTGGCTCTCTTGTCGAAAACATCATCCAAGATTAAGGCAAGTACAAGGTGTCAAATATTTAAAAATTATTGAACCTTAAAGGGAGTGTTCGCGAAAAATGAAAGGGGGTATAGGCTTAATGCGATAAAAAAGCGCTTTTGATCGCTACTAATCTTAATTCTATCTGTTGCGTCTATAAGGAGAAAATTGTTAAAGACGTCTGATACCGAATAACTTAGCGTCCATACAAATTGAGAAAATTGCAACATACAACTTAGACCGTAAAAAAAATCAATTTAATTTCAAACAAATCATTCAGATATTAAAACCTATAGCAATCGATTATCTTTCGCCACATTTGTATATAGTTTATATTTTATATATGTTTTAATTAATTTGTTTTGAATTTGATTATTTCTCTTGTCGCTTGTGCAACTATCTAAGAATGCCGCGCACCACTCACATTTTTCAAAATCCGTTAAAAACGTTTTCCCTTAAGACAAAAATAGCCCAATAGGGATAGGGTTTACACTAATCTTTCTCTTGAGAATTAATCAATAATATTTTTACAGTTTATTCCTCTTGTTTCAGGGTTCATCTTATAACAGAAGGGAAGCATAAAAAAGAGCTTACTTTCCAGACAAGGAATGCATTTTTATGATAACTTTTAATTTTTTATTTTGACTTGGCAAAATAAAGATTTGTATTTGAATAATGAGATTTCATGGGTTTTCAAAAATAGAAGAAAAAATATTAAAGCTATCATCAAAAAATGAAATATGTAAGTTCAACTTGCAAGATTCCTTTATTCGGTTTTATACTTTTAACTTTTTTTTTCAAACCAAAATAGCCTTTAAAAAAGAAATAAAGGGGTGAGGATATTTCATTTGTGTTTAGACAATGTGATAAGAAATTGTGACGCCTTTACATTTGGTTGTCTAGGCATTTACATATTAAAAATGCAACGCGCTCCTTTTTAGCTTAAGTTCAAAAGGTATAATAGACAAAATACTGGTTAATTTTTGCGTGAGAGCGTCACATCTTGGTTTGCAATGGTTTAATTTTTGATTATAATTTCTAATTAAAAAAGTTAAACTAAAATTCAACTATTCAAGAGCACCTGTAAAATCTATTGTCTACGATACCCCCTACTCAAAGGTGAGATTTTAATTCATAAATGCATATTTTCCCTTCTAAACTGCATACAGGGTTACCCATAACAGATTAGACTTCAGAGACGACTGTCTTTTTTCTCATTCCATGATTCCCTGCACCTATCTAATTCTTTCGTTCTTTGTTAAATCATTAAGTAAGCCATTTAAAGACTTCATCTAAGCGAAATACTTTTAACCGCGGAAAAGTCATATTTGTATACATATGTTTTAAGCAAGGTTATAATGCAAGGAAAATTATTTCAGAGGTGTACACATCTTTTGTACTGCAGTTTACTGTCTCTGGGCGGTATTGTAAACACAGGACGGATGTCGAAGCCTGACATGGGATCCACCTTTCACGTAAAAAATCAATGAAATATTCTGGTCATAGGAAACTATTATGTGAATTATCAAAATTATCAAAATTTAATGCTTTTAACCTCCTCGGATACTAAACGAACACTGATGCATCTATTCTTCTTTGCAAATTCCGCCCAGAAGGAACTGGTTTCAATATGTACGCAGAGTATAGGCAACTGTAATTAATTTTCCTTGCATTATAACCTTGGTTTTAAGCCGTTTTTACAGTCTTATTCTTTGTGGGAAACCCTATAATATGCAAATATGCAATACCCAGTTTTTTTCTGCCGGAGAAGGGAATTTGTCAATTCGGATCTCAGAGATAACTTAATCCATGAATCTCACTAGAAAGGGATTATTTATTTGGTGCCAGTTGATGTCAAAAAAATTGGCATGATTCAGTTTAGTTTTGAGTATATACACATTCTGGTTGACGAGTGCAAATAAGTTAATATTCGGATTACTGAGTTAAATTTGTAAAAATTCGAACAAAAAAGGTAAACAAGAAAAATGGTTGCCCATTCTGATAACAGAGGTTAATAAGTAAAAATAAGTAGATGCTCTGAAAACAGAGTGCATGAGTGCATGCTCTGATAGCAAAGGTTAATGAGTAAAATGAGTGCATGCTCTGATAGCAGAGGTTAATGAGTAAAAATGAGTGCATACTCTGAAAACAGAGGTTAATGAGTAAAAATGGGTACATACTCTGATAACAAAGGGTACTGAGTAATAATGAGTACATGCTCTGATAACAGAGGTTAATGAGTAAAAATGAGTGCATGCTCTGATAGCAGAGGTTACTGAGTAAAAATGAGTACATACTTTGATAGCCGAGGTTAATGAGTAAAAATGAGTATACATTTTGGTAAATTAGTGCAAGTAATGATGACAGGTTCTGGATTTTTGAGTAAAAATGTGTTCACAAATTCTGATCAGTGATAAAAAATGAGTATTTGGGTAGATGAGAACAAATAAGTACACAATATTGTAAATGAGTATAATTAATTAAACACCCAAGTAAATGAGTTCCAATTTACATTACTATATAAAAAAAAGAAAATGTATTTACAAAGGGATTTGTGGATTTCCCCGAAACATTTCCACCCTTAATGCTTTGTCCCACCAAGCTGTGGATACTTTATTTGGATAAATTTTCTTGAATTTTACTAATTTTACTCAGTTTATATATGCTTCTTAAAAAAAGTTGACATTGTTAATCAAAAGTTATATGTCGTTCTGGTTCAAGAGTATTTATTATTCAGGTTAATCAGTTTTCAGTAAATCTTGTTGTGGAACTATACAGAACAGATTTAGAGGTAAAACAAATGTTTTCTTGATCCATAATATTTTTAATATTTTTAATAGTTGTCACATTTATTTTAGTTGTTGACCTCCTCCATGCAAGGATTAATGCACGCTAGAACTTATTATGGCTGTTTTTTTAATAGGCTTTATAAGAGCACTTCACTCTCCAATTTCTATAAATTTTAGCCTTGAACTGGTCTTTTAATCATTCTCCAGTAAGCACAAACTTTTAAGGATATTTTTGTTTTAATGAGTTGCCACAAGTCAAATGTAGGCCGATTGGTTCAGCCGTTTTTACGTATATTGGATTCACACAGACAGACCAGCCAAATTTATATAGATAGATTTAGTTTTAAAAAATTGTAAAGCTTTTGCTATATTGAAGATTCTGTTTGTTTAGGTGTACTGCCACAAGAGACTGCCAAGATTTTCAAGATCAAGGAAAAATATTATAGTATTAAATTTAAAAGAAGAAAAATCGACCAATATTTTTGAAGTGATCAAATTTGAGTAGCGACTTAACTCGCCTTAAACTGGAACTTTCTAATATTTGCAAACTTTTAATATTTTCTGTGAATTCAAAAATCAAGGTTTAAAATATTATTGAATTATTCCAAATAAGGTCTCAAAGATTTATGCATTAGAAAAAATACAGTTTGACTTAAAAAATCTATTAATTTAAATACATTTTGTAGAAGTTTTCATGATCGACCTGATTCCTCATACATATATCTAGTCAGGCAGTGTCCCTACATACATACTTTGGTAATTTATTATAGCTTTAAATATTAGAGAGATATTAATAGAAATATTGATTTAGGTTGCAGTTATCTTCGTATATATCAATACAACGAGGACGACTTTATTTTTCAATATCAATTTACTATAATGAAACCCTTAATAACGAATACATCGAAAGAATTCATCAAATGTCGTATTCTTCACTTCATTATAATGGAATGTTGCAGATATTTACTTTTTTAATTTAATGATTATATGGAACTCTTTAACCCTATCCCGGCTGGGGTACTTGAAAACCAGGATACGCTGGGGGGGGGTCAATTTGACCCCCCCCTCTAAATCCCATGTTTTATGTCCAAATATGACAAATGATACATCATTAGAAAGCTCTTGTGCTCTACTTTTAGAATCTGCAAAAAATTTGCAAATTTGCGAAAATTGAATTTTTTATCGCAAAATCCAGTTTTATAGTAAAAATGTTTGCAAAAAAAAATTTGTCCAAAAAATGACAAATTATACATTTTTGAAAAGCCCTTGACCATGCCATTTCAAATATGCAAAAAATTTTGCAAAATTTTAAATAACCTGATTTTTAATCAAGAAAAACTAAAAATGTGCAAATTTCCTTTGACAGGTTGTTTGCAAAAAATTCGCAATTTTTTTTCTCGCAAAACTTGTGCAATCCGTTTCCTTATGTCATAGGCTTTCCAAAAAGCTAAATTTGATCAAAATCTGACAAGTGAAAGTGGGTCAAAACAAAGATTTAGTTTGCTACAGGCAAAAGCAGTCATTCAGGCAGTGTGCCTGAGGACTCAGGCAGTTAGTATTAAAGCCCGGTTTTAGGCCTAAAGGGAGGGCTTTGGGTATGTAAGAAAAGTCAGAAAATTTCAAGAGCCTCAGACCAATACTTTTTGAGTTATGCAAAAAAAACTACAGGGGGGGGTCAAATTGACCCCCCCCCCCCAGCAATAGGGTTAAAACTGTTCCCGCATATTCATGGCTATTTATTTATTTTCGAAAATACTGAAATTTACGTAATAAAGTATAAAACTCATTGGAAAATTGTAAAGACGACATTTGATAAATTCTTCCGGTGTATTCGTTATTAAGGGTTTCACTGTACTATGTTTTATAGAAAAATACTCCCTTTAAGAGTACTTACAATTTGTTCTATTTAGATGATTCGAGAAAGAGTTTCATCTAGCACTGTTTTGCTTTTAGCATATACAGGTAAATATTTATATATAAAGTTGTAATCCCTGTTTTTGGTTTATGTCCGATCATAACTCAGAAACCCCTTCACGGATTTGCCTCACATTTTGATTTAGAAGCTTGGGAGACCCACGAGAATGTTCTCAGCTTGATAGTAAGTTGAGTGGCTCCATTTGGGGAAAAATAGCTAAAATCGTAATTTACGACCAAGAGCGGGTAAACTGCGGAAATAACTATTGAGTACCCTGGGCACCGCGTGTTTGTATAAAATGCCTTCTTTTTGAGCGAAAATTTTATGTTTTTTTAAAAAGAAAATGGTATTGAAGGTTTTAAAAACTAGTTTTTGTACATTTATATTCTCATTTTGGATTTTGAAATCTCACTACCGCCAATACCACAGTTTGAAAATAAAAGTTACAATTTTTTATTCTCATTTTGGATTTTCAAATCTCACTTTTTATTTTTTTCATGAATCTCACTACCTTAGAACTTGACACTATATACTTTTATTTTATAAAACTGGGGCATTTTATACCTACAGGGGCACCGCTGGGTTCTCAAGCTAGTCGAGACTGTATAAGGAGAATAGAGACTAGAAAGGAGTATGGAATACAATGGAGAAAGAATCGACCCGGACCGCCCAACCATATGATTATACATGGTTTGCAGACGGTACTTCATTTGAATAAGAAATATGCTTATATTATATACTGTCTGAAGTACAAATAACGCCTTCATGTATTTAGAAAAGGTTATTGTATAAATTACACAGGGAAAAAAGTAGGCTGAATAACGCACAACAAACACATTTTTTGAGATGCAAAAATATTGGCAATTCAAACTTTTTTAACTATATGTATAAAAAGTTGGTTTAAGTTGATATGGTATCGTAAAAACCAAATTTTAAAAATTAAAAGACGACCTCTAAAAACTCGTTTTCAAATGGAGTACCGTCTGCAAAGCGTGTATAATCATATGGGTACCAGTCACACATCAGATCCATAAATGTTAGAAGCTACAAAGGTCGGACAGTACAAACAACGGACTTACAAACGTCGGACTTCTACAAACGTCGGACTGGGACAAACGTCTGGACTAGTATACACACGTCGGATTAGTACAAATGTCGGACGGGTACATTTTTAAGAAAAAAACGTCGGACTTTGGTTAGGAAAAAAAAATTATATTATAAGAAATAATTAAAATTGTGATAAAAATCAAAGAATAAAGTCTTATTCTTTGAAAGTAGCACTTCATATAAAGAAAAGAAGAAAAAGGAGTTGAGTTCTTGCGACAAACTCTGATGTTTTGTTGCCTATGCCTTGCAAACATTGATATTTAAACCTATAAAATCTATAAGATCAAACAATTTAAATAATACCAAAGGTTAATACCATTAACAGGTTACAAAGGTATAGGGATGAAAATTTGTCATGGTCTGACGTTTGAACTGTCCGACGTTTGCAAGTCTTGGGTTTGTACCGTCCGACGTTTGTACTGGTATGGTAGGCTAGAGATTATTTAGCATTTTATTTCAGGAAAGAACTTGAGATATTTTTACGTCAGAAGAAATGCGATTATTCTAAAATGTGATTGGCCTAAAAGCCCGGTAAATAAAATTATTAAAAAAAATATAAGGTTAATTTTTATTTATCTATTTTAAAAGGGATTTGTAATCTTCAACTGTTTCTAAAATTGGCCCTTATTTATTTAAAGAAATTTCAATATTTGTTTTCAGGATTGGTCTGATGAGTTCTACTCCTGGTTGAGAAAAAGTAGTAAATCCTATTCAGATATGGAGACTGAGGTTTCTCAGATACTAGGATTCAGATGGTAAGATAGTAGATCCTATTCAGATATAAAGACAGAGGTTGCTCAGATACTAGGATACAGATGGTAAGAAGGTAGATCCTATTCAGATATAGAGACAGTGGTTGCTCAGATACTAGCATACAGGTGGTTAGATAGTAGATCCTATTCAGATATAAAGACAGAGGTTGCTCAGATACTAGGATACAGATTGTAAGATGATAGATCCTATTCAGAGATATAAAGACAGAGGTTGCTCAGATACTATAGGATACAGATGGTAAGATAGTAGATCATATTCAGATATAGAGACAGAGGTTGCTCAGATACTAGGATACAGATGGTAAGATAGTAGATCCTATTCAGATATAAAGACAGAGGTTTCTCAGATACAAGGATACAGGTGGTAAGATGGTTTCTCAGATACTAGGATTCAGATGGTAAGATAGTAGATCCTATTCAGAGATATAAAGACAGAGGTTGCTCAGATCCTAGGATACAGGTGGTAAGATAGTGGATCCTATTCGCATATAAAGACAGATACTAGGATTTAGATGGTAAGATAGTCCTATTCAGATATAAAGACAGAGGTTTCTCAGATACTAGGATACAGATGGAATGGTTTTATTAGATCAAAATCAAATGACTCAGATTTTTTTCAGACATCTGAGAAAGGTATCTAAATTTAAAAACTATCTTTAAGTCGTCTGTTATTTTTAATTTCTTAATTTAAAGTAAAATTTACTGTGTATTTTTTTAAGGTTTGCGCTGACCGATAAGCAGTATAATTTGACTCCTATAAACGTGACCTATCAGCACTATTATGAAGGATTTGAGGAGGCTGATTGAAGAAAAGATAAATACGATGTGATTAATAAATCAAATATGACAGTTAGTGAATAGTTTGAATGTCTTCTTCCCTATACTGTATCAGATATTAAAGACTTTTTTAGTTTATTTCACTGAAAAAAAATACTTTAATTTTATATGTTTTACTTAAAATCAAGACTATAATATAACTGCAATATAATAATTTTTATTATTCTCTTTGGTATCAAACAACTTAACAAATTATAGAAGACATTTTAAACTATTCACCAACAGTCATGTTTCGTCGGACACCCTGTATAATTGCTTGTTTTAGTGAAGCATGAAAAATAAAATATATCTATACTGCAAGTGCAGAGTTAAGTGAAACTGTCAGCAGTGTGTTTTCTCCCGCCAAATGTTTGAAGACTTCTAAATCGACGTCATCATCATCATCATCATCATCATCATCATCATCATCATCATCATCATCATCATCATCATCATCATCATCATCATCATCATCATCATCATCATCATCATCATCATCATCATCATCATCATCATCATCATCATCATCATCATTATCAACAGGTGTGACACATGTTTCTAATTGCATTTTTCTAGGGCTTTTCAAAAAATATAGTTTTTAGATCTGTAGATTTATTTACAAGAACGTTATGGGCTATTTTATATTTTTTTTCACAGACCGGACTTTTTCTGCCCTGTACCCTAACCTATAAATTAAAAAAATATATATGTTTAACAAAAAATCCTTTAAATTACTTTTAAAAGTCACAATATTTCACGGTAATAGTACAGTGTCAAAAATGAGAGTGCTAGGACAAAAAAATTACAGGGGAGGCGCCGAACGCCCCCTCCCCTCAACCCTGTTTAGGGTTTAAGGTTAATTATAAAAAGAAATAATGTGAAGGTAACTACGCCAATCAGTGTTCATGTTGAGTCAGTGTTTGTATGTATACCCATTCTTATCTCTTCTATTATACAATATAAAATATACAGCTGATCATTTAATACATGAATACAGTTCATATTCATGTGTTTCTTACAATAAGTGAAAGTTTAAAAGTAATAAAATGCAGCGGAATTGTATCCTGCTACTCTTTTGGTTGAGGTACATGGGGTTTCCAATTAATATATAAATTTAATGACTTAAGTGTCTAATTTGTTTAGCGTGGCATTCCAAAAGTGGTCTAAATGACTAAAAGTGTATCATAAAAAGAGTTGATGTCTTATGTTATTTTAAAATGTGATCTGCCTTCTATGTATCTTCAAAATTGACGGATTTATAAAACACTGAACAATTTTGTCGATCTTGGTTAAAGTGGAATCTGTTGAAGATTTCTCAATATCTCTGTCAATTTTGTTGATGCAGACGTTTTACCTCTTGAAACCTTGCAAGTCGTGCCAAATTTGTAAATACACTTATTTAAAAAAAATTCGTGCAAAACTAAAGTTTCAGCAGCAACAAAATAGTGCAATATTTGTGAATTTTTCTTATCGCGTAATTAGCGCATTTTTTATGCGGAACGTTTTGCGAAATTTGATTATTTTTGCGCGAAACGGATTATTAACGAACACGATCAAGAGTTATGAACAACACCCAATTTATATGTATTCATAACTAGCTAAGAAACCCATATTCGGCCGGAAACTTAACTTACTCCATAAAAGTCAGCTCACTCAACTTCTATCTTAACAAAACTATGAACGTTCGTTAGGTTCTGACAGTTTCTCAACAAATCTGAGACAAATCAGTAAAGTGGTTCCAGAGTTTTGATTTAACATAAACAAACAAACGCCCACCCCACCCAGACACACAGAGATATATATCTTTCAAATATTATGCATATCTACATAGTTTTCTTAAAAAAGAAAATGCCTAAATGTTAAAGTCGAATCAAAGCAATAATTGTTGCAGTATGTTGACTGTATGCCTTGCTGAAGAGCCCAAAGATCAGGATTATGATTATGAGCAACCGATAGGTATACTAAAATTGTATAATGGGTCTAAATATACAGTGAAACCCCTTAATAACGAATATATCGGAAGAATTTATCAAATGCCGTTTTGTCAATTTTTCAATGAGTTTTATACTATATTACGTAAATTTCAGTATTTTCGAAAACAAAATAAATAGCCATGAATATGCGGAACAGTTTTAAAAGGTTCCATATAATAATTTAATTAAAAAACTAAATATCTGCAACATTCCATTATCAGAAAGTGAAGAATACGACATTTGATGAATTCTTTCGATGTATTCGTTATTAAGGGTTTCACTGTATATTATTCGATATTATTTTTAAAGAACAAAATTTCTTACAACTCATGAGCTAAAGCCAAAGCTAAAAAAAAATAATTTAAAATCTAGCTTTTTTCATTTTTTCCTAAACAAAAAGCTCGGGACAAAATTAAATCTAAAAAGGCTTGAACCTTCTCGATAAAAAGAAAATTTCTGTCCAAAAAACTTTATAACACTGCGAACCAAAATAACAGTGTCATGAATAGTTATTATGCGTTTTTAATCAGTCATTAAAAAAATCTGTCCATTACTATTTGTTTGTTGTTAACCGTAAATATTACGACTAGAGGGTAAGGGAGACATGGATCTTTTTAACTATGAAGATGAACTGTGTGAGAACTGTAGATGTTATAATGAATCTTCTTTATCATTATGGTTGGACTGCACAGGGTTGGGTCTAGGTGAGCTCAAAAGTTTAGAAATGGTTTACGGTGGAATCCATAAAACTGTGGAATAAGAAGATGAAATCGGCATTAATGTTGTTAAAAAACAAATCATTTTACTAGGAACTAGAAAATCTACCTATTCATGGGGTCTGTTTACACTTCTGCATAACTATATGTAGCTGAAGTGCTCGGTGTTGCCAGTGGAATTTTTAGAACACTAGGGAAATCAAAGAAAATCATAGCTTCGATTAAGTAAAAAATTGTTCAGCCTATGTCACCACAAAGGTATCCATGGGTTCCCTCCAAAATTTTAGCCAATTTGGTCCAACCGTTTGGCCAGCGATAGCTAACATATAAAGTTTTATTGTATAGATTGATGTTTGTCTTTTATTTGACTTTACTCTAACAGCCGTCTTTTTATTCCACTGGTTTATGAGTCTCACTGTATTTTCTGTACAATTTTTTAAATCTTATTTTACTAAAATACAAATTTTACAAATTTTAAATCTGTTATTGACAAAACAAATAAATGTTTTAATTAGGAAAAATTTTAAAATTAAATTTTTATTATTGATTTATATTATTTCAGAGAAGATTCCAGATTGGTTGGATGAGTTTGAAAACCAAACATTTTCTATTCTTCTGGACCTTTCATTTAATACTATTGAAGAGCTTGTTAGGACAGTTTACTTTATTCAATTTTAGATTTTTAATCAAAATCAAAAATGTTAAGGTTAGAAATTGAACCTCAGAAATTTTTTTACAAAAGCAATTTCTGTTTGTTTAAAAAATATGTAAAGATTATTAAATTTAAAAAAATTTATATTTTTTAATAACTATAGTTTTGGGGAAGACTTTTCCTTTGTATTTTTCGAAGCTAGTGCCCGAAAAAATTTGTAAATTTGTCTGATATTTACCTGCAATGTCTGTAAGATGTTGTATACAAAAACTTTTGTTTAGAACTTTTTATTCTAGCAGTGCAGGGATAGCTTGGATATAAAAAAAACTTATTTTAATCCCTAAGGTTTTGTTTTTTCTCACAATCTCTAATTTTCTAATTCTTTTATCTTTGCAACCAAATGGTATACATCTTAGATATTTCAGTCTATATCAATAATCTAATTTAGAAAAATATAAGTTTTACATCATCAGATTGCAAAGATACAGAGCTTAGAAAGAGAGTCATTTCATTAAATTGAAAGGAACATGCGCAATTTACTTAAATTTACTTACTTAAATAAATGTTCGGACCTTGATTGTTTAAAAAATCTCAGAAAGTAACCAAAAAGTATAGTTTTCCTGAAGGCTCTGTGTGGAATTTGGACCTCAGGAAATCAATTCTGTCCTAAAAAAATCTAAAATTACAAATTTAAAGTTAAGCAATTAAAAGTTTACATACAGTGAAAACCAGAAAAATTTGAAATAGGATGACGTCTTTTAGACTTAAGTTAGTCCAATGAACATATGAAACAGCAATTGCCCATTTCACTTCATAAGTGATTTAATAATTTACAAGAAAGATTATTTGCTGTATAACAACTTCATATGCACTTTAGCATTTGTGTTTATGTCGTCTTCCTATTCCTATTTTTATGTTTCTCATTTTTTATATATTTCACGATCTTTATACAGTTAAACCGTGAATAAGCCATACATCGAAAGAATTCATCAAATGTCGTATTCTTAACTTTCTGCTAAGGGAATGTTGCAGATATTTAGTTTTTTAATTAGATGATTATATGGAGCTCTTTAAAACTGTTCCCGCATATTCATGGCTATTTATTCATTTTCGCAAATAATGATTTTTGCGTAAAGTAGTATAAAACCCATTGAAAAAATTTTCAGACGACATTTCATAAATTCTTTCGATGTATTTAGGGTTTAACTGTAAAAAGACATAATATTTGGGATGAATGCGAATAAATATTTTGTTAAAAATTAAAGATATATTAATCAACATGATTGATATTCTCTTTGTAGTCACAACTCCATAAGAAGAATAGAAAATGGAGCATTCATTCAAATATCTCAGGATCTTATGGAATTAGACCTAAGGTATTATTTAATAGCCATCTATCTATAAACTTTGCTTGTCTGATGCTTGTTTGTATCTAATAAATGTATAAACAATTGAACCGATCAGGCCCAAATTTTGTTTGGGACCTCACATTACCTCAAGAAAGGTTTTTTGGATGCTCAGAATTTCTAAAAGTTGTTACTAAATTTTGATTTTCGAAAAAAATTTGAAAATTCACGAACGCATAAATGTAAATCCGCCAAATTTTTATAATTGTTTTAACGAAGAGAAAATGCCAAAAGATTGAGCAACAATAAAAAGTTGAAATAGAAGATGGGCTTGAAGAGCCCTGATAGCATAGTTTCACGATCATCATTGTTTTTTTTGATTTTACATGAATTGTGCCATAGCAATGACGCTTCGACAGAAAATAAATCTTAAAGAAAAAACGCCCTTTTGATCAAAAAGTTTATGATTTAAAATAGTCCAGTGAACACAAAACAAAAAAACTGTGAGTGTACAATGAGCACAGATCGATTGCTCTCAAGCTATACCGTTGTAAACTGAATAAACTAAAGTTCTGAAGGATGAAAATTACAATTCTATCGAAAATCTTCTATTTGGACTCTTTTTTAATAACATTATTATTTGCACTTTTACTTTGTTTGTGTTTTTTTTATAACGGAGTACTCGCCACAAACATAATTTTATTCCTCTGTCGTAGAAACCAGATAGTGCAAACATTTGATATTTAAAACATTGAATATTTCAATTTGAAGAATTCAGAGGCTTATCAGACGTTGACGATATCAGGTTGTAAAGATATAAATTAGAAAAATTTGATTTTGTGACGAGCAATCAGTTTCTTTTTTCAATAATTAGAATATTGCCATAAATTGTATGCATTGACAAATTTAAAAGTGTAAAAATGAACATTAAAGTTTCTATTTTCAGTGACAATAAACTGGATGCATCAGGCTTGGAGAAAGATTGCTTTAGAGGTAATTTTTCAAAGAAACTGAGTTTTTGCCACAACCCCAAATTTGCTAATCCCTATATCTTTGCATGCTGACAGTTTAAACCTTGAATATTTTAAACTTAGAATATCTGATCAAACATAAACCATAGTTTGAAATATCATAACGCTACGACATTTGGTTGCAAAGATATAGGAATTAGAAAATATAAGTTTGTGTCAAAAACTCAGTTCTATTGTTCTTATTTTTTTCTATTTTTTACTATTTTCTAAATTTTCCTTCTTTTTTATCTAAAAATATTTTTGCAGGAAAACTTATTGAGGGAAACATATCTCCATTGCAGATAATACAGCTTAGGTATGGAAGAATAACATTTTTTTTTCAATTTTCCAATTTTTTCAAATATTTTTTTATTTTTACAAATTTTTTTTTCAGTTTGGCAAAGAACAGAATTCATACAGGAATTGCAGTAATGCTTTTAAACAATAATATAATCAAACTCTAAAGTATTTCAATTATTGTCTTTTTTTAGTGGTTCTTTTTGTATGGATCACTGTTGATATATAATACCTTTTAAGGATATTTTTGTTTCCAAGTACTACTTACAATTAAACTAATTATTACATTCTGTAAAGGCAAATTATTTGATTTAAAATTCTTTTTTTTTGAATTGGAGTTTTCTGAGAAAATCAGAGATGGGCTGATACTCACTTAGATTTAGATCGGCACCAAAATTAATACTTTCTATTGTTTCTCTTTCACACTCCATTAAGCCTTTTTTTACTTTTTTTTTAACATTACAAATAAATCTATAATCTTTATTTTCAAAAGTTGTTAGTTCATATTCGAAAAATACTTACAATCCACTACCAATGTATATCAAATATAGTGTAAACAATGAATATTTAACTTTCCTTATCCTTTCCTTGCCTTTCCTTTAATTTCTATTTTAATATTTTTTAGAATTGGGGGGAAATATTCCCACAACCTCTACTTTTAGAGGTTTTTAAATATTTTCTCCTGAAACACTTAATTTTGTATGTTTTTGTTATATTTCATAGATAAATATTTTTTTACTTTTTACATATTTAAAATATTTACATTGATACAGTTAATAGTTATCCACCAACAACACATTCTTTCAATTCTCCCCGGGTAAATTAATAATAGCAATGGTATAACTGGAATCCCATACAGTGCATCCGGAGATATTTGTCCATCTAACCAAGCTAACAGATTTAGATCTGTCAGATAATCCTTTAGAACCATTTTCACAGGTGGAGTTATTTTTAAACAAAACGTAATTAAAATACACTAAATTGAAAACTTTAGTTTCTTTGTAAAAAGCTTCGGATGACCATTGATTGAATTCAACAAATAAGCAACATAAAATTATAAAAATCATTTGGGAAATTTCTTCATAACTGTTTTCTGTTATTAAGGTAAAACAAATACTGTTTTTGTTTTTTAAACGAAACTGAAAAGCAACAGTTGCCAAAACCTTTAATTTTCTAATCCAATTGTATTTGAGACCTGATGCATAGGTGTAATACTTTGGCATTTCAAATTACAGCTATTTGATGTAGGCTATGTCAGAAATTCATCAAAAGCTTACGACATCATGATCCACAGAAATAGCAACTAGAACATTTAAACTGAAAACGAAAGTAAATAGCATTGTTTTTTATCTTTGCTACACATTATAACACGGACAAAGGAATTGAGTTTTTGCCACAAACTCAAATTTGTTAATTGCTATATCTTGGCAACCTGTTGGTGCAAGTCTTTGCCATTTCAAACTTAGACTATTGAATTATAAACAGAATTCACAGTTTGTAAGGTGTACGACATCGGTTTGAAGAAATATGTAGGGATAAGAAAATCAGAGTTTGTGACTAACACAACTTTTTCAGAATTTAGATTTATGATTATTTAGGATTACAGATTTTAGTTATAAGCCCTAAGCCAAATCCTCTCAACTAATGAAATTTTTCCTCTTACAGGCAATGGTTGAGGCTATTAATGGAATATTGACACTTGAGTCTCTCAACTTCAGGTCAAGGAGACTGTAAGCGTGTTTTCAAGTTTCCCTCCACGAAAAGATAGCAAGGCCCGATTCAAAACGTTATACCCTTAAATGCGCTGTCTGATCAAGTCTGAATTAGTTAAAAATGTTTAAAATTTTGAAAACTGATTATTTTCAATTGTGGTTTCTCTTCAAGCGTGACTTGGGCATTTCTACTCAAAGTGAATAAATACTAAAGTGGAACAGATTAAGGAAACGACGACAGGTTGGGCCATAAGGTTTTATTTGGTATGGAAATAATTTCATGAAAAGATTTCGTTTGGAAAGTAAAGACACATGTTTATTTAGCTGTATATATATTCTAAAACAGCCCAACGATATTGCTATATTCCCTATATATACTAAAACATGTTTATTTAGCTGTATATATATTCTAAAACAGCCCAACGATATTGCTATATTCCCTATATATACTAAAACATGTTTATTTAGCTGTATATATATTCTAAAACACCCCAACGATATTGCTATATTCCCTATATATACTAAAACATGTTTATTTTAGCTGTATATATATTCTAAAACTCCCAGCCCAACGATATTGNTGTGCTGTCTGAAATCATTTATTGTGCAGTAAAATGGCTAAAATTCACTTCTGAAATCTTAATTTACGTTAATTTATATTTAAGTTAAATACAAATTCTAAGTCTGTGTTTGTAAACAAAGGGAGTCCAGTTTCTGTTGTACTGTGCACTCCGTATACGGACCAATTTATATATATATATATATATATATACATATTTATAAATACTTGGGACATAAAATGTCGTCATCCAACTATGAGTTTGGTCCACTTTAGTATTTATTCACTTTGATTTCTACTACAATAAAACCATGGAGAAATTATCAGATTTAAACACTTTTTAACATATCATACGACAATATCTTCCACATTAGTAATCAGATAAAGGTTTAAAGGGTACCGTTGTGTGAATCGATCATTGGTATCGTTGCATGTAGGCTTACTTGAAAAGACGCTTGATGTACCTTTAATCAATGTCCAATGTCTAATGCTTGTCTTTGTACCCTTGTACCTTCATCGTAATGAGCATAATGCCGAATAATTTAGATTACTTAAAATTTACAATTTTTTAGTAAATTTATACCATTTAGTCCAAAAACTTTAATTATACAGAATGGTTAACACTTTTTGCTCTAGATCCACTGGATTAACTAGTTTACCTGAGGGCATGCTTACTGGGATGGATCAGCTGATTTATCTAGACCTGTCAGGAAACCGGTTTCATCAGGTTTGATTATTTTACACTTTCTCATGTGATAATCTGTTAATTATACTTAAAACAATCCATTATCTACAAAAGATAAACGTCTGTAAGTTATATTTAGAAAGATTCCACAAAATATCATCGCTATTTGTTTTAGCAGCAGAGTTTGTGCAAACATTTAGATTTTCAAGAAAAAAAAAAATGCGCGCAAATTGAAGGGCAGACTAAAATATTTGCGCAAAGTGCAGGCAATGATTTTAATATTCCTTTGGAAACCCTTATACTAGGCGTCGTAGGTATCTCCAGAGATCAAGATGGTACCCTCCCTAGAGACCTTGATCCTTAACAACAATCTACTCCTAGGTATCCTCAGAGATCAAGATGGTACCCTCCCTAGAGACCTTGATCCTTAGCAACAATCTACTCCTAGGTATCTCCAGAGATCAAGATGGTTTCCTCCCTAGAGACCTTGATCCTTAACAACAATCTACTCCTAGGTATCTCCAGAGATCAAGATGGTTTCCTCCCTAGAGACCTTGATCCTTAACAACAATCTACCCTAGGTATCTCCAGAGATCAAGATGGTTTCCTCCCTAGAGACCTTGATCCTTAACAACAATCTACTCCTAGGTATCTCCAGAGATCAAGATGGTACCCTTCCTAGAGACCTTAATCCTTAACAACAATCTACTTCATGAACTCAATAAAGACAGTTTTAATGGTCTTGTCAACCTCAAGAATCTGAGTATCAGGTAAAGCTGTATATTAAGGTTAGACACTCTGGATGCACTCCAATGTACTAGAAATGTCGTCTTCATAGCAATGAACACTCAAAATTCTCATATGACGTAACTGATATTGGTAGCTGGCAAGCTANAACTCACCAGCAACCGCCAATACTCAGTTATGTCATATAAGGTTTCTAAATGTCCATTAAAATTAAGACGACATTTTCCATACATTGTTTGAGCAGATTTAGAATATCTAATCAAAATAAGGAAAAAAGTTTATCTAAATTTTCTTTATTTTAAATTTGAAGGGACTGTCCTTGCATTTAAAGTGATTTTCCAATCTTCAATCAAAAAGGGGCATTTCTGATGAAATCGTAATCTAGGTAAAAATGTGGAAGATAACAAAGTTATTCTAGCTTTGAAAATTGTTTCATTCTGTTGATTTTTTTCATTTTTTCTAAAGCAAGAAACGCGCAAGTCAGTTTTGTAAATACTCAGTTTTCAAATAAATAACAAAGCATAAAATTCTAATTCAGACATATCTAGAAAAAGGAGTTGAGTTTTTGCCACAAACTCTGATTTTCTAATCTATATGTCTTTGTAACCCAATGTCGTAGACCTTAGATATTTCAAAATATTAATACTTATAGATAAAATAATCTAAGTTTGAAATATCAAAGGTTTGCACCATAAGATTGCAAATATATTGGAATCAGAACATTTTAGTTTGTGGCAAAAACTCAATTCCTTTGGCGGCATTCATCAAATTACTTAGATGAACAAATATTGAATTTAGAATATATTTAGAATTATTAAAGAACATAAAGGATCTAAAACTTGATTATTTATTGTCATGTTTTATTGAACAACTAGTACATCTGATAGAGGATACCTGAAACTAAGCAAATTTGTAAATCTATGAAACAGCAAATAAATAAATGTTAGGTATTCTCCCAAAGGTTTTTTCCCCAAGCGGCAACTTCCCAAGTGTATTTTCCCAATTGGGAACTTCACAACTGTGAAATTTCCCAAGTCTTTCCTAGCCACAGCGCTTGGCCCCCATTGCAGCATGCGACGCCCCAGAAGGCCTAACCTAACCTTTGGGAAGTTGTCGCTTGGGAAATTGCACATTAGGGAAGTTGCCACTTGGGAAATTATCACATGGAAAGTCGCCCTTAGGAAAATGCCTTAAGGATAATATAGAACACCAATCATTCTATGCCTATACTTCTTTCTTTGTTAACTGAAATAAACTCTAAATCAAAAAAAGTAAAAATACTAAGGCCGAATTTAAGAACTTGAGCCGCGGCTTAAATTTGAGCCGGGGCTTAAATATGGTTGGTTCCACTTAAAATTGTATTTAATTTTTACAAGATTTACGCCGGCTCTCAATTGAAACCGGTTTTTTGGGGATTTGAGACGTGGCTTAAATTCATTGAATTCGGATTCTGTTCTTTTAGTGAGTGTCATGGTTTGAAATATATCGAGGAAGGTTCTTTTGCATCTTTAACAGATCTACAATTGCTGAGGTAAATACTGAAAAATGTCTACTTTTGTTTTATACAAACAAACATAAAACATTTTTTATGTTGCAATGTTATATCAATTTTTATTCATGAAATGCTCAGACATCGGAAGAAAACTCAAAATTAAAAGTTTTACAAAAAATGTTTTGCAAATTTGTAAAAAAAAACATTAAAAATGTATTCTATCATAATAGGTGTATAATGTTGGAATACATAATACAGGGTCATCCAAAAACGCTGAGACTGTAAAGACGACCGAACATTTTTTTAAATATGACGATCCCAAGGTCAAATACAGTTGTCTGCCTTAAACATTGTTTTATTGGCTTGCTTAATGATTAAACAAGAAAAGAAAAAAAGGATTGAGTTTTTGTCACAATCTTAAATTTTCTAATTCATATATATCTTTACAGCTTAAAGGTGTAAACCTATGAATTTTTAAACTTGGATGATTTAATCTGACAGAAATTATAGTTTCAAATATCAAAGGTCTGCAACATCAAGTTGCAAAGATAAAGGGATTAGAAAATATGATTTTGTGACAAGGACTCAATTCCTTTACAATTGCAAGGAATCATGAATATAAGGAAACAAATTCTGATTTTAATATTTTCAGGATATCCGGCAACAAACAATTAGAAGGGATTTTAATATTTTCAGAATATCCGGCAACAAACAATTAGAATGGATTTTGATATTTTCAGGATATCCGGCAAAAAACAATTAGAAGGGATTTTAGTATTTTCAGGATATCCGGCAACAAACAATTAGAATGGATTTTAATATTTTCAGGATATCCGGCAACAAACAATTAGAATGGATTTTAATATTTTCAGGATATCCGGCAACAAACAATTAGAATGGATTTTGATATTTTCAGGATATCCGGCAACAAACAATTAGAATGGATTTTAATATTTTCAGGATATCCGGCAACAAATAATAAGAAGGGATTTTAATATTTCCAGGATATCCGGCAACAAACAATTAGAATGGATTTTAATATTTTCAGGATATCCGGCAACAAAAAATTAGAATGGATTTTAATATTTTCAGAATATCAGGCAACAAACAGTTAGAATGGATTTTGATATTTCCAGGATATCCGGCAACAAACAATTAGAATGGATTTTGATATTTTCAGGATATCCGGCAACAAACAACTAGAATGGATTTTGATATTTCCAGGATATCTGGCAACAAACAATTAGAATGGATTTTGATATTTTCAGGATATCAGGCAATAAACAATTAGAATGGATCAGTCCTGATGCCTGGCCAAAAGATATAAATCTTCCATTCACTCTTCAAGGTATAATTTGTCATAAGTTGTGTTTTGAATAAAATATTTTTAAACAAACCAAACATTATCTTATCCTTGTCTTATTTTAACAATTTTGTAAAAGAAAATGTGCTTCTAATTTAGTATTACTAGGCTTTTAGGGCGCTTCACGCCCATCTTCTTTTAGGGCGCTTCACGCCCACATTATTTTTCTGAATATTTCTTTTTTCATACATTGTAAACAAAAACAAACAAAATTTCGCGGACTTAAAAAAATCATTGTTTTTCAAAATTTTAAAAATCAATTTGTTTTTCAAATTTTTTTAAAAATCAATTTTTTTAGAGGCAAATTTTTAATATTCGATCATCCATAAACCTTCCCTGGGGTCATTTGAGGTCCCACAAAAACTTGAGCTTGAACTGTTCAGTAGTTTTGATAATATCAGGACACATAGATAGACAAGCAAAGTAAATTATATAGACATTCATGTAAAACACATTTTAGATTTTTCATAAATCATGATTCATGGTTCAAAATTTATCATATTTGCAAGAGTCGGGTCAAAAACAAAGAGTTTGTACTTTTTAGCATCAATTCTTTACGTCAACCCCCGAATGATTGTTAGGTTTTTAAACAAAAAAGAGACTTAGAAGACTTAGCCATTTTTAAACTATTCTGTAATTATAATGATAATATGTTTTACAATCTATACTTCTAGAACTTGATCTATCTGATAACCATTTGAACTATCTACCCAACATGTTACTCCCGGATTTTACAGACTGGAAGAAAATAGAAATAATCAACATTCAGGTTAGAAAACTTTATAAATAATCAATATTCAAGTTAGAAAACTTTATAAATAATCAATATTCAGGTTAGAAAACTTTATAAATAATCAATATTCAGGTTAGAAAACTTTATAAATAATCAAAATTCAAGTTAGAAAACTTCATAAATAATCAATATTCAAGTTAGAAAACTTTATAAATAATCAATATTCAAGTTAGAAAACTTTATAAATAATCAATATTCAGGTTAGAAAACTTTATAAATAATCAATATTCAATTTAGAAAAACTTTATAAATAATCAATATTCAGGTTAGAAAAATTTATAAATAATTAATATTCAAGTTAGAAAGCTTTATAAATAATTAATATTCAAGTTAGAAAACTTTATAAATATCAATATTCAAGTTAGAAAACTTTACAAATAATAATTAATATTCAAGTTAGAAAACTTTATAAAAAATTAATATTCTAGTTAGAAAACTTTATAAATAATCAATATTCAGGTTAGAAAAATTTATAAATAATTAATATTCAAGTTAGAAAACTTCATAGAACTTTAGAAAAGCTGTCAATTAAAAGCTTCTCTTTGTTTACTTGTAAACTTTTAATTTGAAAAAAGCTTTTCAGAAAAAAAACTAAAACATTGTATGATAATAAACGTCGACTACCTCAGTCAATTTTCTATCAATTACAAATTTTAAACATTCTAGCAAAATCAATTTACATTGTTCTGGTTATTGTAAGATATTACATTATAGGCATAACATGTTTCTATTTGCCTTAACATTTTAGTTTTCAGGGTAACCCTTGGGTGTGTGATTGTCACAATGAATGGATGCTGAGTACCTTGACACCGATGATTCATGAGAAAAATCCTGATCTAACAGAGGTGAGAATTACAATACAATTTAGTTTTTACCACAAAGTCAAGTTTTCTAATCTCTATATCTATGCAACCTGATGGTGTAAACCTGTGATATTGCATGAACATAAACTATTTGATATAACAGATTTTGCTTTGGGTTGCAAAGATATATGGATTAAATTATCAAAGTTTGTGGCAAAGACTCAATTCGTTTGTTTCAAGATGAAACTTCAAGTATTAGTACATTATACAAATGTATTAAAAGCTAGGGGTCAATTTATTAAAGAATCTAAACAAAACTCTAAGACGTTATCTTATGCGTATCTCTAGAGTAAGACCCACAGACTTTTTAAGGTTAAAGGAATTGAGTCTTTGCCACAAACTCTGACTTTGTGTCTCCTATATCTTTGCACTCCAGTGGCGTAGGCCTTAGACATTTTAAACTATGACTTCTTTAAGGGCAAATAATCTAAGTTTAAAAGATCAAAGGTTTACACCATCAGGTTCCAAAAATGTAGGGTTTAGAACATTTCAGTTTGCATGTGGTAAAGACTCAATTCCTTTGTTCAAGAATGCATTTAAGTCTAATATTATAAAACTTTCTTGCTCACTCAGTCTAGTAACACTTTTCAAAGAATAATAATACCAATAAGTTTTTATCATTTTTTTTCCCATATCATTTGATTTTTGTTTTTTACCGTCTCAAGATTTAAAGCCAATGAAAACTGTTGTTCTAAAAACAAAAATACAAAATAAATGGTTTTTATATATTTTTCTGTCTGAAGTTCAATGTTAAAATAATCAAGAATGATGAAAATGTGTTATTTACTCTCATGAAAATTAGAGACAATGAAAATTTAAATCTCGTTTGAATTTCCACTTTTCAAAGAGAGTAAATGAGATTCCTTTCTGTAGATTTGGTTTTTACATGGATTTACATACATTTTTTGATAAGGAGGATTCAATAAAAATTGTTGCATACCAAAAAATCAGCTTTGTAAAAGGAATGCTTATTTTCAAGAATCTAGTGTGCGGGGGCCCGGTTCACTCTGTTCTAGTTAGAGAGCAGATGACGGTGGTTCATGAATTAACTCACACTAACGAACTACCCTGTGATACCGCCCAGGTAAATGCGCGAGATTAAATTGAATGCCCCGTTTTATTCTTTCTCTAAATTCAGATCGTCTTCAACACCAATTTATAATCAGCGTTTTATTTATGAAAAAAATGAAGCCATTTTTTAAGTATTGATATCCTGAACCATTCAAATATAAAATTGTTCTAACAATGGAATGGACTGCGTTTGTTTAAGTGTGATTTCTAGTGACTTGCCTTGCAAACATGGCAATGCCCGATTCACAAAACTGTATCCTTTAAACCTTTCAAATCTTTAACTGATGAAGGTTGTCAGAGCTGTTCTCTACAAATGAAAGCCGGTAAGTGGCGAACTCCGTGTTTGTAATATGTTTTAAGTTTTAAAAGTATTTATTTTTACTTTCTGGAAATATTTATTATTTAGAATTTTGGAAACCACTCTTCTGTAAGGTCAAGAGCCACAAGTATCGCCAGAGCTGTGTTCAGTTAACTCTGTGCCCAGCGTTCGCTGCAGTTTACATGAGTTTAAGTGGTTTCCAAGAGTTTTAAACACAGAGCTCTCTTTATTCGATGCACAGTTGGGCATTATTTTCTTTGTATGGAGGGTCACTTGAAATAACGCTTACAATCCCTTTATGGAAGTTCAAGCATTTATTAATTGTTTTAACATTTAGTTCAACCCTTGGATTAAATCAATGAATTTACCAAACCTAGAAAACAAAGAGAACAGGTACGTTACTGACATCATAGATAATGAAATATTAAACATCATGAATAGAGTGATAGGCGCATTTGCCTTTTTTATTTTGACCGTTCATCCTTTGTGAACTACCCATTTCGTCAGTTTTTTTTTCTTTCAATTTCGTGCAAAAAAATTGATTTTGTTCTTTCTCAAAATTATCGTTAATTTCCACCTATTTCATTTGTTTTCTCAGTGAACGATCGTTCAGTAAAATCGTTTGTTAAGCAAAATCGTTTGTTCAGTAAAAAAATATTTTTTTTTGTTCAAAAATTCGTTAGAAAAATTTGTTAGTTAAGGTAAAAGCGAACTTTTTGCCAAAATCTTTGGAAAATTTGTTCGTTAGAAACTTTTATTTTACACAGATTCCACATTTTAATCTGTGAAAATAGAGAAAATGTGATTATTTGTTGTATTATCATTATCAATACTAACTTTTAAAGGTGTTTCTGAGTCCTAGTTTAGGCTGATTTATTATTTAAGGGACATGTAGTGTAGGCTGATTGATTATTTAAGGGACATGTAGTTTAGGCTAATTGATTATTTGAGGGACATGTAGTGTAGGCTGATTGATTGTTTAAGGGACATGTAGTATAGGCTGATTGATTATTTAAGGGACTTGTAGTTAAGGCTAATTGATTATTTGAGGGGCATGTAGTATAGGCTGATTGATTATTTAAGGGACATGTAGTGTAGGCTGATTGATTATTTAAGGGATATGTAGTGTAGGCTGATTGGTTATTTAAGGGACATGTAGTGTAGGCTGATTGATTATTTAGGGACATGTAGTTTAGGCTAATTGATTATTTAAGGGACATGTAGTGTAGACTGATTGATTATTTAAGGGACATGTAGTGTAGGCTGATTGATTATTTAAGGGATATGTAGTGTAGGCTGATTGGTTATCTAAGGGACATGTAGTGTAGGCTGATTGGTTATTTAAGGGATATGTAGTGTAGGCTGACTGATTATTTAAGGGACATGTAGTGTAGGCTGATTGATTATTTAAGGGACATGTAGTGTAGGCTGATTGATTATTTAAGGGACATGTAGTGTAGGCTGATTGGTTATTTAAGGGACATGTAGTGTAGGCTGATTGATTATTTAAGGGACATGTTGTGTAGGCTGATTGGTTATTTAAGGGATATGTAGTGTAGGCTGATTGGTTATTTAAGGGATATGTAGTGTAGGCTGATTGGTTATTTAAGGGATATGTAGTGTAGGCTGATTGGTTATTTAAGAGATATGTGGTGTAGGCTGATTGATTATTTAAGGGATATGTTGTGTAGGCTGATTGGTTATTTAAGGGACATGAAGTGTAGGCCGATTGATTATTTAAGGGGCATGTAGTGTAGGCTGATTGATTATTTAAGGGACATTTAAGGGAAATGTAATGTAGGCTGATTGATTATTTAAGGGACATGTAGTGTAGGCTGATTGATTATTTAAGGGACATGTAATGTAGGCTGATTGGTTATTTGTAGGCTGATTGATTATTTAAGGAATATAGTGTAGGCTAATTGATTATTTAAGGGACATGTAGTGTAGGCTGATTGATTATTTAAGGGACATGTAATGTAGGCTGATTGGTTATTTAAGGGACATGTAGTGTAGGCTGATGGTTATTTAAGAGATATGTGGTGTAGGCTGATTGATTATTTAAGGGATATGTAGTGTAGGCTGATTGATTATTTAAGGGACATGTAATGTAGGCTGATTGGTTATTTAAGGGACATGTAGTGTAGGCTGATTGATTATTTAAGGAATATAGTGTAGGCTAATTGATTATTTAAGGGACATGTAAGCGTAATTTTTAGTGACACACAAAACAAAAATTTTAAATGTACCGTTGTAAATCGTACATTGCCATTTTGAAATTACGCTTTCAGTCCCTTAAATAGCTATTTTTTTCAGTAATTTCTATTTTAGAACCAGAAAATCTTCTCTTCCCACGACTATTACCGTTCTCTGTATTTTCGCCATTATTGGTAAGATGAGTAAAAGACTGTAAAAACAAAACAAAAATAACTATTTCTCTGGTTGGACTAAATTAACCTACTCTAAATATCTTTTTATAACTGTTTAACATTTATGATTATATTGAACACACTAATTGAACTTTGGTAAAGGTACAGTATAAGAGCCGGAAAACTGTTTTGATGTTTATTACAAAGCAAATAGTTTTAATATTAACTTATTTAATCACTTAGTAAGTGAAACGGGGCTGTATACACTGCACATGCTGTTCAATGGACTATTTAAAGAAATAAAGTGTGTTTAAAATTCGTCTTCCTTTTCCAGGGTTTCCTAGGTTTAACTTTTTATTCCAAGGTTAAATTAAGTCTGCTGCCCTGAATATAGTTTTTTCATAGAATAAAGCAAGTTTACCGGAGTCCAAAGCAGGAAAATTATAAATAGAAGTAAACAAACAGTCTCATCTTTTGTGGGTTACTCTGTTACAAAAATGTTACCCTCCAATTAAAAAATAACTAATAAAAAAGTATTTGGAAGAAAACTCCAGATTTTTTTTGTAACCGTCTGTAGTAGACCTTTGACATTCCAAATTTTGAATTCTATTTGATAAATTTGTCTAAGTTTAAAATATTAAAGGTTTAACCATTAGGGTGCAAAAGTAGATAGTTTTTAAAAATTTAGGTTTGTGGCAAGAACTCAGTTTCTTTAATCAATTATTTCCCGTGGATTTTATTCATTTGAAATTACAAACAGAACTGGATTAAAAACGAGATTAATCTTATACAAAAAAAAATCGATTTTTGTTTGCTGGGTAGAATTCCCTATTTTGATCACAGATTATTGCAGGTTCTACTGGAATGGTCGGGATGCTTTATGTCCAGAGGAGTAAAGAGAATACTCCTAGGAGGTGAATAATGTTAATAAAAGTAAAAATTACTTTTTGTTCAAATATATTCTGAACAAAAAACTGTTTTGTCAAAATTACAATTATCCTACAGTGGTCGGCGTTCATATCAATACAATGAAGACGACAATTTATGCATAATGTTGATAAACATTTTTCAAATAGCAAGATAACATGTAAACAGCGAGTAACTATTAAATGACAACTTTGCTTTGATTACTTATTAGTGAATCTGTTTGAAAATCTTGGTAGAAATTAAAATTGAAGTCCAAATTCGTCTTGTTGTATTAATATATCCTATGACAACTGTATTCCACCAATAATTACAGAAAAATTTTCAGATTTAGCAATACTTGCATTGGTGCAAAAAAATCTAATTGGTTTTAGGATTTTTTTTCTCAAAAAAGATCAGACCTATTTAGCCTTTCAAACAAATAATGTTACACATCCAGTGGTTGGTGTCAGTAATATTTCTTCAATCAAATGCATTTTAGTGCAAAATTTCAAGTGATTGTGTTCTAAACATTTAAGATTGACCCTATTAGCATCTATTAGGGTGCAGGGTGTCCCACGAAACATGACAATTGGTAAATAGTTTACAATGTCTTCTTCCATATTTTGTTTAATTGTTTAATACCAAAGACAATAACAAAAATATTAATTAGTATAAAAGTAAAATTAATTTCAATGTAAAATATATTTGAGCAAGAGTTTTTTAAAAGAAATAAACTGCTTAAACCTTTACTATCTAAAACAGTGTATAGAAGACGACATTCAAAACTATTTACCAACTGTCATGTTTCGTATAATATAAGTTTAAGTTAACTCTGAGTTAAGTATATATTATAGTTGTGCTGATCGTTTAGCAAAATTTGTTTTTAAGAAACTCATCTTTGTTTTGTTTAGATATAGAAACGATGTGCCAGCTCCTTTTGTAGGATATACAGCTACCAGTAGTACCCATCCACCGGGTCAGCCTGGGCTACCTGATACGCATGCGCCAAGGACTGGTCTATCTAACATATACTCTCCACGGGCTGGCCAATCTAACAAATACTCACCTCCGGCTGGTCAAAATGCTCTAGATCTAGAAGATGTTCATGGAATAGTTAATACTGAATTCAGAGATGACGAAGGTTGTAGATTTCTTCGCATGAAATTGATTAGTCGCTTAACAGTCTTATTTTCTAATCATTATATTTTTGTATCCTGATGTAGTAAACCTTGGATACGAATATGATATATATAGTTCTAAAAATTGAACTGCCTGAAATTTTTTTGCATAAAAGGAATTGCGCATTTCTCACAAACTCAAATTTTCTAATCCCTACATCTTTGCAACTTGATGGTGTAAACCTTAGATATTTCAAACCTAGAATTTTTTATCTAACAGAATTCATAGTATAACATATCTAAGGTTTACAACATAAGGTTGCTAAGAAATAGGGATTAAAAAAGCAGAGTTTGTGGCAAAAAATCAAATATAAAATATGTGACATAATTGGTACCTGCCGGCGACACTGCATTAACAAGTGAATGATCCCTTGAAGGGAGTGTTCGCGAAAAATGACCGGTATAGGCTTAATGCGATAAAAAAGCGCTTTTGATCGCTACTAATCTTACTTCTATCTGTTGCGTCTATAAGGAGAAACTTGTTAAAGACGTCTCATACCGAATAACTTAGCGTCCATACAAATTGAGAAAATTGCATCATACGACTTAGACCTTAAAAAATCAATTTAATTTCAAACAAATCATTCAGATATTACAACCTTTAGTCATCGATTATCTTTCGCCACATTTGTATATAGTTTATATTTATAATATTTTATTTTTTTTAGAAAACGTTTTAACTGATTTCAAAAAATGTGAGTGGTCCGCGGCATTCTTAGATAGTTGCGCAAGCCGCAAGAGAAATAATCAAATTCAAAACAAATTAATTAAAACATATTATGAAATATAAACTATAGAAATGTGGCGAAAGATAATCGATGATTATAGGTTGTAATATCTGAATGATTTGTTTAAAATTAAATTGATTTTTTACGGTCTAAGTCGTATGTTGCAATTTTCTGAATTAGTATGGGCGCTAAGTTATTCGGTATGAGGCGTCTTTAACAAGTTTCTCCTTATAGACGCAACAGATAGAAGTAAGATTAGAAGCGATCAAAAGCGCTTTTTTATCGCATTGAGCCTATACCCCCTTTCATTTTTCGCGAACACTCCCTTTAAATTGATATGTTTTGATATGTTTAGGAAGGAAAGTGGAGTAGGAGGAGACAAACTACATTCAAGCCAACACTAATCCATTTTCTAGACCTTTGTAGAAAAAATCTTTTTTTTTAATAAAGATTAATTCAAGTCTTTTAAAAGTTCTTTTTTGGCTTTCACTGAAGGTATAAAGGCCGGATTTAGACTTTAAGAGCGCTCCGCGCACCTCATCTAGCAAATTAATCCTTTAAATGTTGCTTTTCAAACGGACTTTCTTTCCTCGTCATATGACTGGAAAAAAAAATTTGCGAATTTTTCTGTTTTTACTGACAGATTTCTAAAATTTGAAATATCCACATTTTTCAGGCAAAATTTTTTTTACTTTGAACCTTAAACCGTTCGGCCCTACATGGGGTTGTGTGACTTGCAAAAAAACTGTTCGGTTCAGCCGTTTTGACGTAAATTGAATATACACATGCCAAATGTTATATAGATTGTTTAAAACAACATAACTACTGTAATCCCATAATTTTACGTAAAAGAATTATTGTGAAACAACACAAACATCGAATATATTTTGAAACAACACAACACCACGAATATATTGTGAAAAATCACAAAACCTCAAATATACTTGAAATATCACAACACCGCGAATATATTGTGAAATATTACAAAACCTCGAATTATTGTAAAATATCACAAAACCTCGAATATATTGTGAAACAACACAAACCTCGAATATACTTTGAAACAACACAACACCACGAATATATTGTGAAAAATCACAAAACCTCGAATATATTGTGAAATATCACAAAACCTCGAATATATCTTGAAATATCACAACACCGCGAATATATTGTGAAATATCACAAAACCTCGAATTATTGTGAAATATCACAAGACCTCGAATGTATTGTGAAATATTACAAAACCCTTGATTATAACGTGAATTATCACAAAACCTCGAATATATTGTGAAATATCTCTAATCCTCGAATATATTATGAAATATCACAAAACCTCGAATATATTGTGAAATATCACAAAACAATGAATATATTGTGAAATATCACAAAACCTCGATTATATTGTGAAATATTACAAAACGTCGAATATATTGTGAAGTATCACAAAACCTCGAATATATTGAGAAATATCACAAAACCTCGTATATATTGTAAAACTTTACAAAACTTTGAATATATTGTGATATCTCTAAGCCTCGAATATATTGTGAAATATTACAAAACCTCGAATATATTATAATTATCATTATTAGATTTATTTCGGTCACATAGCGGTACAATAGATTATTAAGACTACAAAACATTTATAAATATATATCTACAAAATAAAAAAAACTAGTTATACATCACAAATTTTTAATTATTTGGGACAGTTCATCCCTTTCAAAACTGGAATTTTTCAATTTTATTTGATCTAACAGAAAAAAATTCTCTTAAAAAAGGAATTTTCCAAAAATGTGTATCAGAAACTTCTGCAAAAGTTAAATTACTTTTTACCTAGAGTTTTGTTAGCTCACTGGGATAACAATTATAATCTTGTTCAATGCTGTAAATATGTTTGCCAAGAGTTTTGTTAGCTCACTGGGATAACAATTATAATCTTGTTCAATGTTGTAAATAGTTTTGCCAAGAGTATGTCATTAAATTATTCTGAAAAGTATTTGAAAGCAATTAGATTGCGATTTTGTTTCTTTTCTGTAAACTAAGAAAGAATGATATACAAATCGCGAACACAGCATGGTCTTTAAGTGAAGGTTTTCCGAAATATAGCATGAAATATCACAAAACTTTTGGGATAATTTTGAAACAGTTGTATATCAATTTCTCGAGACAGGAACATCAGATAGAACTCTTATATGTCTCAATCAACTCCTAAGAGAAACGATGCACATCATGATCAGTAGTCATCACTGATCATTGATCAGTAGTAATCACTGATCATATTCTATTATAATTCATTTTTATCTTAAAAAAACACAAAAAAAGTTTATTAAGATAAAATGAGGAATCGTATATATCTAATGTTTTTTTTTCAATGAGAGTTTTCTGTAATCCAATAAACATGGATTACGACTTTTATTTCGTCGTTGTTCCACGTAGCAATATTACGTGAATATTTGAGCAGTAATTCGTTAAATATTTGCTGTACTTTTCTTTAAATGTTTAATATCTTTTTCAATTTTAAAGTTAAAAAAGAAGGAACAACACATTTTAGAAGCTCATAACATATTCAGACATTATTTCAATAACTCATCGTAATCTTTCAACTATCGGAAATTGCAAACCATCCTCAAGTCGTCCATTAATTCCCATGTTTATTGGGTAACCCTGTACATTATCTGAAATTGATGAAAAAAGCTTGAAATATAAATGCGCTACCACCATCAAGTTTTAAAGATAAAGGGATCAAAAAATAAGAATTTGTGGTGATTCCTTTGCAGCCCCCCAAAAATTTGATTAAATTGTTTTAGCTGTGTGGGTTGAAGGTTCTTTTTGGACCCCCCCTCCCAGTACTCCCCCC